CTTTCGACCTTATGAAGGGTAAAATGTTCAAAATGAGCGGCTGAAAGTGGCAGATCTAAATACATGCACATCATTTCTTCCTCTGTGCATCTAAGCGTCATTATGGTATCAATTCTGAAAAGTCATGTAGCCTCACAAACATATGATTTTATCATAAGGATCCAGGTTAAAAAATAAAAATAAAAATCTACCACCTGTAGTTAAAAAAAGCATTTTTCAAAGATGAAATGTAATCTAATAGGATTCCTGTGCTTCTACTCAGGTTATGTGCGTTTTAGGAAGGATTACCCCGAGCTGTTCGAGAACCTGACCCCTGAGGCCGTGCGCAGCACCATCGAGGCCGGCTACCCCGGCATCCTGCATAGCAGAGACAAATACGGCCGTGTGGTCCTGCTTTTCAACATCGAGAACTGGGACTACGAGGAGATCACCTTTGACGAGGTATGGTGACTCATTTCTTTTATTACACAGGAAGCTTATGTATTTTTGTCCCATCTCTGACAGGAGCTTACTAGAAGATACTATAAATATAAAACATGTTTGTCTGTGTGCATTCAGATCCTGCGCGCCTACTGTGTGATACTTGAGAAGCTTCTAGAGAACGAGGAAACTCAAATCAATGGATTCTGTATCATTGAAAACTTCAAGGGCTTCACCATGCAGCAGGCATCAGGAATCAAACCCACTGAGCTCAAAAAGATGGTGGACATGTTACAGGTGGGGGGGAAATCCATTATTTTGGTTGAATTACTTTAGAGGAGAAGTAAGTAAACTTTATTTATTAAGCGCTTTTCACAGACAGACAATTATAAAGCGCCGTACACAAATATTAAAATAAACAATAAAATCAATAGACATTATATACAATGTAAAAGATCAAATGTAAATGATGTAAAAAATATAAAATATGTAGATCAACAAAAGGCTTGTTTGAACAGAAGAGTTTTTAACAGTTTTTTAAAAGAATCCACAGAGTCAAGCAAACATACATGTAGTGGTAAACTGTTCCACAGCCTTGGTGCAACAGACTGAAAGGCTCTGTCCCCTTTTGTCTTCAGTCGTGTACGGGAAACAACTAAGAGACTCTGAGTCTGTGAGCGGAGATGACGAGCAGCAGTGTATTTTATAAGAAGCTTGGATAAGTAATCTGGAGCCTGGCCATTTAGTGCTCTGTATGTTAAAACAAGAATTTTAAAGCGAATTCTAAACTCTATTGGGAGCCAATGTAAAGAATATAAGATGGGAGTGATGTGAACACGCTTGGTAGGGCGAGTTAGTAATCTGGCTGCTGCGTTTTGTATTGTCTGGAGGCGAGAGAGAGATGATTTATCCAAGCTAGTAAAAAGGGAATTACAGTAATCTAAGCGTGATGACACAAATGCATGAATGAGTTTTTCCAGTTCAGCTGAGGAAACCATATGTCGCAGTTTAGATATGTTTCTTAAATGATAGAAACAGGAACGAGACAAGGATTTTACATGAGAGTCGAGGCCCAGAGAAGAGTCAAATATTACTCCAAGATTTCGAATATTTGACTTGACAGATGGACAGAAAGAGGCAAGAACCTAACTGATTTTAGAATGTAGCCCAGGAGGAGCTATGATCATGGTCTCGGTCTTGTTAGTATTTAGAACAAGGTAGTTGCTTGAAAGACAATCAGAAACCTGGGTTAAGCACTGGACTAGGGTGGACAGCCTATCCAGCTGATGAGGCTTAAAGGACATATGGAGCTGAATGTCATCAGCATAAAAATGATAAGACAGGTCGCTAAAAGATTGAATGATACCAGCTAAAGGAAGCATATAAAAAGAAAATAGTAATGGACCTAAAACTGAACCCTGTGGGACCCCACAGGTCAGGGCAGCAATGTCAGAGGTGAACCTGTCAGTCCTAACAGAAAAGGTCCTGTCTGATAAGTAGGAAGAAAACCAGTCTAGGGCAGAGCCAGATACACCAGCCAAAACCTTGAGCCTGTTAAGTAGGATTTTGTGGTCGATGGTGTCAAAGGCTGCACTAAGATCAAGCAAAATGATCACAGAACAGTTCCCTGCGTCAGATGCCATTAATAGATCATTATAGACTCTTAAGAGAGCGGTCTCTGTAGAGTGCTGCTTTTGAAAGCCAGACTGAAAAGGGTCAAGAATGTGTAATTTACATAATAAAGACCTGAACTGATTTTCAACAATTTTTTCAAGTAATTTACTTACAAATGGCAATTTTGAAATAGGTCGGTAATTACTAGCAGAGCTAGGATCAAGATTCTGTTTTTTTAACAGAGGAGTTACCTCAGCATGTTTTTAAATAAGATGGAACACAGCCTTGCCTCAGTGAACTGTTGATGATCAATGGACCAATGCTGGTGATAGACCCGGACAGGACAGAGTGAGGTAATATATCTACAGAGCATGATGAGGATTTCCTTTTACCTAAAACTATAATTAAGTCATTTAGTGTGATTGGAGAAAAGGAGGTAAATGATCCAAGACAGCAAGGGGTATCTTCATAAAGGGAGGCACTTGAGGAAATTTTGGATTTCAAGTCCATCACCTTATTTACAAAGTAATTAAGGGAAGTATTACAATCTTCATCAGAAAGCAACAGAGCATGCTGGGTTGGAGGAGAAACAATACTGTTGATGGTATCAAATAGAATTCTTGAATTATTTTTATGACGATTTATAAGATTATTGAAGTAAGAGGATCTGGCCTCTTTGACTGATTCATTATATAGGTAAAGTAGGTCTTTAAAGTGCTCACGATGGACAGTCAGACCGGTGGACTTCCACAGACGCTCTGCTTTTCGTCTGTGGAAGCAGAGCGTCCACAGCTCAAAAACCATTGTATAATAGAGTAGTCAAACAAATTTTCAACACTTTGACTTGGCATTCATTTATGATGGATTTTTAGATTCCTTGCCCTTCATCTTGCTCTTTTTGTTCCACCAGGACTCATTCCCTGCCCGTTTCAAAGCTGTGCACTTCATCCACCAGCCCTGGTACTTCACTACCACCTATAATGTGGTCAAACCTCTCATGAAGAGCAAGCTGCTGGAGAGAGTGAGTCAAATGAATCATATTCAATGACAACATAGATTGGTTTTAGTCCTTGTAGAGAGCATTAATGGCAGACATTAAGGGGGTTTGCAATGCAAACTGTGACCACTGTTGCCCCTTAAGTCTCTGATATATAAACCTATCATCAGCCAAGCTCAAGATATCCTTTATATTTTGGTTTGAGTGCAGGAGAGCTGTAATATGCAACGTGACAGCATCTGACTTGACATGAACCTGCTTGGCAAAAAGTAGCAAAAACAGTTTTGCATTTTTTCTAATAAAACAAGACTTTCATACATACTCGACAGTCAAGTACCACTGTATTAATTCAATAATGTGTTGGTCTGGATCCTTCAGTTTGCTTCTGAAAGGATTTTGATGTGCGTTTCACTCTGATTAACAGAGCTGAATCTAATAACCATAATGCCACTCTAAAAATTGGTTTTGTGGTGCGCTTAAGCAATACGTTTGAGTCTGTCAGGATATTCAATACAAGGATATTAAATTAATTTATGACTTTGACATTTGGCTGCTGAAGGATAGCACACATTTAAGCATCTCTAACAGCTGCGGATGTTCGTTTTAGGTGTTCGTGCACGGAGACGAGTTGGAAAATTACTACAAGGAGTTTGATGCCGAAATTCTCCCTGCCGAGTTTGACGGAAAAGGTCCCAAGTACGACGGCAAGGCCACAGCAGCCAAGCTGTTTGACTAGACATCCTCAGTCCTTTTGCCAATGAGGTCGAGAGCCTTTACGTATTATAAACCCTATAGACTGTGAAGAATCAACGCCCAATCTAGCTGTGTGGTTGTAGGAACTAAAGTTATGAATGAAAGTCGTGACTGTGTTAGAAGGTAAAATGATATTGTACTGCACAGGTCCTGGTAAAGCACATTCAAGACAAAAACTAGACAAGCCATCCCAGTGACACCGTATAGTTTGAATTTTCTAGTTGATGACCATCAAAAGTGCCATACATGCTCCAAATAACTACAGAGTGCATACACTTCATGTATTTGCTTGTCTTTCTTTGAAAGTCAGTCCTATGATAAGTAAAACTTACTTCTAACTCATTACAGTGAACATTTTAGTGTTTGTATTTATTTACTTTTTGCCAATTCTGTATTTTGTTTTTAGCAGAATAAACAGTCCAGTCCAAATGATCTCGCTCAGGCCAGGACTTTTTTTCGTTGGTGCAATTAAGATAAATTTTAGTCCAATTAGCATCAATCTTGTCACAGGGTTCCCCTTTTTATCACTAGAACCATAACCAATAAATAAATAAATAAATAAATGCAGATAAGTAAATGTACACAGTGGTGGATTAGCTGTGACAATCACTTTTAGTTCATTCCAAACCCAAGTACATGGACTGAATGACCGGCTGCCTTGGAGGCAGTTGTCAATCTTAAAAGAAGAAGCAGAAGCAGCATGGTTTGGTACTGGTGTGAAGTGTACAGAAGCTTATGATTATGGACCAAAAAAATAAAAATAAAAGTCATATATGTGATTATCTTATCACATACAGTGTTTTTCCATTACGCAAAAACACTGCCAATCCTGGCCGGCTCTGAACACCACATGTTATGTCTCCGTTTTGTCAAACTGTGCTTTCTCTGGACTTAAATTCACCCACACAGATGGTTTATTACTGGCAGGCCCCAGCTTTCTCAGGACCCAACCTCTTATCCCTGATCATCTTCTTGCACAAGGCTGGTATTCCAACAAGTGCCTCTCTTTCCTGCTTTTCTTTCTTTCTTTCTTTTTTTTAAGACTTCTTCAGTAAGGTATAATAAAGTTTGACCCATTGTGCTACCCAGTGCACCAATAACAATGTCAATACATGTACAATAAACTGTTAAAAATGCACAGTGTTGTGACTTTGTTGATGTAGAAATACACAAAAGGAAACAATATGTGAAAATCACTTGTAAACAGGCTGCGCACCATGAAAACACCCACATTTTCCTTCATTTTCTACATCATAATCATATATTCAACAATGCAGACAAGCCCCTGTTATGTGAAATGAGACTAAAAAGAAAAATCTTGTCAAGTAACTTGAAAAAACTCATTCATCCAGGAACAAGTTAATGAAGAGTAATTTTTTACACTATGCACAATACCCCATCAGAAAATGATTGTGAAAAAAGACAATTGAAACGTCTTAATTTATAATATCACACCAATAAAAATGTGTTCATTTACTTTTAATTGTCAATGACTCTACATAGTGCATTGAAGACAATAAAGTGCGAGCAAACAGTGAAAAAGTCAGGACATGTTTGTGGTGCTGTTGCATGACATTTGACTTCTGCAGAGCAGATATAAGTTGCATAATTTGGAGGCTACATAGACTGGGTGGAGTCCACTGAGAATGTAACTCACAGGAAACTGACCAACCTCAAAAGTCCTTAACATGATAATAAGAGCTCAGAATATTAAAAACAAGCAAACCAAAACAGCAAAAACATTGCATTTGTGCCCTCACCAGCTTAGCTGGTGTTTGAAACCTTTGAAATCACATAATTCTGGTGGAAATTTACAGTACCATGACAGTACAGGAGTGTTTTTTCTTTCTTTCTCACAATTCAGAAAATAAAAAATATAAAAATCCACCCCCCTGTCCTTTTTTGTCAGTGACACTAATCATCTTCAATAGAGCGATACTCTTAGCTGTCTTTACCTTTGATATTGCAAACACCACCATCCAGTAGGCAGCAATGAACAGCTATGAACAACAACAACATCCTCCCCCAAAAGGTAATCGATGCTAAAGTTTAATATTAAGTCACTACAGTGTTTAAACTGAAGCCACGCCTGGTATATGGAACATAATCGTGACCAAGAAGAGACACATTCAAAATGTTATCACCTTCGAAACATACCGTAAACAGCCGTTTATACCACCACACCTGCCACTTCTAGTTAAATTATTTCTACGCTGGGAGTTATTAGTTATTTATAAGTTTTGGGTAACCAGAGTTCTACACCAGGAGGCTTTACAGTAAATTGATTGATTCATGGAATGGTTGGATCTACAAGTACATGTTTCAACAAACCAGAAATGTTCAGTTGGGTCTGTTTTTGTCTACCCTAAATGCAGACAGAGTCCACTGGAGAAAATTGAGCATGAAAACCTACCAAAAAATATCTGTAAAACATTACCTGATTTGAGAGATTAAATCACATTCTTATCAGATGTTTTTCTTTAATAAACAGCAACATCCTCTTAGTGAAAATGCACTATTTCAATTAAAGGACTTCAGAACAGGACAGAACCAAAACATCATTAAAATATTATTTGAAAACTTGAAAAAAAGAGTCCACCTTTTTTTCTTTCTTATGGCAGAATTCAAATTACGCACCCTGCTTTAGAGAATAAAGAAAGAAGTACCTACCAAAAACCAGCAGAGGGCAAACTATTGTTAACCTGAGAGATAAAAAGAACAAAAGCAGAAAGAACACTTCTGCTTGGGATCACATTACACTCACCTGTGCGATCACCTCTGTAGGTTTTTATTTCTAATCTGGTTTAACCACTTCCACTCAGGCTGCCTTGTCTAATCATCTACAAGTTCCAGAATCATGTAGCTGTAAGGCCAAAAGTGCTGAAGCTGAGCAGGTACAGCAAGCTGTCTTTGTGCGTTTGTCTCTGGACTTGTATGTAAGTGCAACTCGCAGAGTGGTATTGCGTGCTTCCATACAAAAAGTTCATGTCCTACTCGCTGCTACTCTGACAGACCGACTGCTTCTTCTCCCAGCGGCAGACGGCGTTGGTGTACTCCACTATGACCTTGTCCATCCAGGTGAGGGGCTGAGGGAACAGAACAGCTCCCTCGAAAAAGCCCATGTGGCCCCCATGTTGCGTCAGGGCAAATACCACATTGGGCATTTTCTCTAAAAGGGGAAGACAGTTAGGAAGAGAGAAGTATAAAGTTTCAGTTCACCAAAAATCTGTTCCCGTCAAAGACCAATTTTTAAGAAGCTAAATGACGCCAAAGCTGTGACGAGTCCAAATATCCAACCACGAAGATGATCATGTTTTTCAAAAGAAACTGACTGCACAGATTATAACTTGAATCTTGATACAGAACCAGTAGAAAAGTAGACAAAATTTTAAAGAAATAGAATTCATGACTACTTGAAGCGTAAAAACTTTACATGAATACGAAGACTTTTACAAAACAAGAATCTCCCATGTGAGGCAAGACAGGGCAGCAGGTTGAGGCCAGACACACACACAGGTCCCTGTATATAACCCAACAGCTCAGGTGGATCACATGGCCCTGAAAAATTCAACAAGACTGTCTGGGGAGGGTGTGTTGAGCAGATAGCTGCATCAAGACTTTATCAACACTTAAGACTGTGTTGCGAGTGTCCTGTTAACTCGCTTCATGCTGCTCTGAGTTAGCACCACTGTGAGGACAGCATTTTCACCAGACTCTACATCACCTCTGTGTTGCATGCCATGAAATAATATCTTTAATATTTGTTATTAAAGGTTTGTATGGAAGCATATTTTAAACTTGGTGTAAAACAACTTAAAAAAAAGACTTTCCTTGACTTTCTCAGTTCCTTTCAACAACATGTTTTCTATGTTGAAGACTCAAATGTTCCATGTAAATCCACAGGTTGTAATGTTCATATTCACTACAATGCTTATTTCCTCTTCTCTGTTACAATTTAACTACTGACTGATAACTAGCTAACATCAAGTTAGACACGCCAACAGCCTGCCTCCAGTACAACACAACACAATCACAACTCCCCTCCCAAAAAACAAACAAACCTGGCTTCTTCAAGCATTGTGCAGGAAGAAATCTGAATAGCCAGCTAGCCACATATGCTAGGTAGCTAAGAAAACATTACATAGTTAACAACAGTGATAAAAAATTAGCTTGAGGAACTCCACAAAATTAAAACAAAGGTTGCTCTGTGAATGCCCTACCCAGTTTTACTTCAACATGCCCACTGGCCAAGACTTCACCACGTTCACTAAATAAAACCATACATGCCAAATATCAAACATAGACACAGTTACAGGTGTTATTAGGAGGAATCCTTGTTAGCTTGTCAGAATAGAATAGAATCAAGTGACTATTCAATTCTTCTATTCTAATAAACTGCTAGTTATCTATAATTAAAACATACCACGAGCTATCTTTCTTGTTTGCCTGCTAACGTGGGCAAATTGGTAGCTACTTATCATGGCAGCCAGCTTTAAGCTAGCCTGTTACAAAGACAACCTTTAACTACCACTGACTCACACTGCAGAAGGAGTTTAGACAAAAACCACAAACCTGCAAGAGTGCGTGCAACAGCAAGTAGTGATGGATGAACCAGTGGGTCATCCAAGGAGTTTAGCAGGAGGAGTGGGACAGTGATCTGTAAAAAAGAGTAGTCCAGTTTATTTATTAATTTTTTAGAATACCTACTTACACATTATTAGTGCAGACAGTACAAAAGATAGAAGTAACCGTCACTGGCACTTCTGTGCTAATGTCACACAAGCTACGCCCACATTTTATATTGTCTACCATTACACTTTTATAACAGAATAATATAACAGTGATAAGAGAAGTAGTATTCAACCACACCTGGACTTAATTATGTATGATTGCTATCCAAGTATGCTAGATCAGGTGAACAATAAATATAGCAGCAACAGTATTTAACAGTAGTCCAAACATGAAGTCATTGCAGAAGTAGTAATAGAGGGATAGATGTGTTGAGCTCTGTTACATACACGGATAGGTACTTGTCACTCACTTTGTGGATGTAGTGCACACAGCTCTCCTTCTCATAGTACTCTCTCAGTGAGTCATAACCGTGGAATTTTCTGAAGTGAAAAATGATGCGATAACATAGTTAAAGAGATGGCCCACAGAATTTAGAGCAACCCATCATATTCAAAGCCCAGAATATTTTACCTCATAATGCTGTCATCAATCTGCATCAAAGATGTGGCTGCATACAGTCTGTTCAGCTCTCCATCGCCAATGTTGCTGCACTGCATGGCCAGCAAACTGTCCCTGTTTAATAATATGACATTTAGACAAAACCAACGCGGGAGACTGTGTCTTTGTTTGGCTGAGAAGTGCTTTTCATCCGATTCTCCACAAATGACTCACAGATCTACATTTTAGATAACAGATTTAGGAATTTCTGGCAAATTTTTCAGAATTACGCTAACATTTAAGAATTTCTGCTCTCTATCAGACAGAGATAATCGAGAAAATTTTGTGTCTGCAGAAAGCCACTCCAACAATTAGCAGAGAAAAGATTCATGCTTGTGTCTGAGCTACAGAAAAGCAAAAAGCTGCAGTACTTTATGACTAAATGACATTCTGATCAAATTTAAGAGTATTACGTATCTGTAACCATTAATCAATAACTGTTGTGTTGCTCCACCTGTGCGACAGAATGATCTTCTTCATATTCTCCGCCAACATAAAGTTGTAGAGCCTCCGGCACTGGTCCCACTGAAGGAAAGTTTCCTGAGCCCTAAACACACACAAGCAAATGCACATGAATACAAACATACTGTGGAACCACATTACAAACTAAAGTCACTACAGCAGTAGTCTGATCCATCATATCACTATTATATTTTAACTATTGTAAATATCAACACTGCAAATTATTTAACCCCAACACTATTATGGTGCTGCTTAACACAAAACTTTAAATTAAGTTATATAACCTAATATTGCACTCAGTAACTCCAAGCAATCCAAAACAATTGTAATGGGTCCGCTTAATACGATCATATACAAGCGCAGTAATGACGCTTATGCCTCAGTTCAATAAGAAAGATCTGTAATCACTCATCTGCCTGCTTTCATGGATGTTTGGCTGTTAGTCTATTTCTTTCATCACTTCCACGCTTTCAAATCCACTGCTGACACCATTACTCTAATCCAATCATCTTCTTTCCTCTGATGCCTCTTGACTCTGATTGGTGGAACCCACCTCCCCCTGGTCACTCAGACCTCCATCCAATCCTCCATCTTCAATCCCATCAGGGCCTAGACTCGTAATGCCTATCAGCGCTGACAGCCTGCTATGACGGCTCATTGGTCTAATCGCCAAAAAAGCTTAAGTGAATTCAATGCTGCCAAATGATCACCACTCACTGAATGTTGTTTACCACAGAAATAATCCCTCTGAATAATGTATACTTTATTACTTTATTCATCCCCGTGGGGAAATTCCTCTCTGCATTTAACCCATTCATTCAGTGAAGCAGGGTGAATGGCAACATGACAACGTGTAATACTTTCTTGAAGCAAATCTCACAAGAACCATTAGGAAACAACTTTAGGAACTTATTTGGGAACTTGATTTAAAGAACAGCTAAATTAACTGTCATTTCTTTGGTCCCTGCATGTAGAAGATCACTAGTCAAAGCTGATAAAAACTGCTTAAGAAATTTACTGACATTCCCCTTAAAGAGGCATTATTAACATTTTTACCCCCTTGGAAATTAACTCTATCACCATCTTTGTACTTTGTACTTCTATCACCATCTTTGCCGCTGCAGAATTCCCTAAGATTCAATTTAGGTTTCACTGAGTGCTGTCTTCTTCTCTAACAAAGTCTCTGACTGGAACCGTACCTAGGATGCTTTTTTCACAAGCTTTTTTCTTTTTCTTTTCAAAGCTCTGATAGTCCTGATAAAACAGAGTCTTCTCAGTCTCCTTTCTTTCCTGTGTTTCAGAGTAAATAAACCCCGTTTCAGTATTTATCAGAGTTCAACATGATCACCTCAGTTTCACTTGTGACGGCAGAGCAACGGCGACAACAACATGACCCATTAGTCTTAATTGTGTTAATCCTTCAGTCAGTTTACCAACCTGAGGGCACTGTAACCCTGGCAGACGCTGACACAGCATAGCACTCTGTCCTGGTTTGACTGGTTTTCCCCCAGGAACTTACAGACGATGTTTCCTCCCAGACTGAACCCCACGACCACCAACAGAGTCTGGGGAAAAGTGCGTTTTATGTAGTCCACCATAGCTCCAAACTCCCAGGTACAACCTGAAAGTAAAAGAGTTGCTTTTACAAATGTATAGCAGTAATATATACTCGATATGACAGATTAATATATATTTATAACATTATGCTTCTTGGGAATCTGGTTTTATTTGTCAAAAGATTGATTTTGGCAGGATTGCACATTATAAGGTTCTTTTTTTTATCCAAGTAATGTTAAAAAATATCATAAAAACAGACAATGTGGCAATAACTTTTTACCGTATGTAAACATGCGTGGCGAGGTGAGCTCAACATTAGGCAGGGCTCCCAGGTGGTTGAGGACAGCACAGCGGTAACCCTGCCGCTGGGAATAATCCACAAAGGTCCGGATGTAGTTCTTCTCACTGTGGTTACCAATCCCAGGACAGATTACCATGGTAATGTCATCTGGCACCCACACAAAGACACAAAAGAGTCTGGATGTGCAACTACATTTAAATTGGAGTCATGAGCTTGTGTAAAAGTCGATGTCATGTGCACTGTAGTGTGTGTGCGGATTTAACCCCGCTGAACTACATTGCTGGCATCGTTCCTCGAGGGAGTTCATTAAAGTCGCTCAAAGTGTAGCAGGAGCTGCTTGTTACATGAGACTGATGTTCTCTCGGTCCAAACAAGCACATAAAACTCAGGAGGAATGAAATGAAAAGAAAAGCACCTCAACTAAACAACAATCGGGAAGCTCTTTAAGTACCAACACATCAGCCGTTGTGTAATTAAATACCCCGAAAACCAGCTGATTTGGTGGTTTAACAGGAACAAAGTAGTTTTTGCCTCTGACCTCCAGTGGTGTGGGCTCCAATAGCTTCAAAGAGGTCAAAGGTAGCCGTAGCACCATCCTGCATTGGGAGGAACATGCGAACCCCACAGGGCGTTGGAGTTTTGACACGTCCCATCTTCCCGTAGAGCACCGTCTGGATGTGACCGCTCTTCCCCCACAGCAAGGGAGGAATGTATCTGAAAAGAAGGACAAGGCCCATATTATGTAACTGGAAGATGCTTCAGAAGATCATCAGTCTGACAAGCCAGGCACACTCTGAGAGTGCTTTTTTTTTTTTTTTTTAGGTGTTCAAATTACATGACTCCAGCGTGCTTAAATATGAAGAGTGCCAAAAATATGAAGCCAAATAACATTTAGCAGAAATTAAGTTCACATCAGGTATGCGGTTGGCCAACATACCGCTTCTTCCTGTCCAAAAACAAACAGCTGAGAATTTTCCTTATCTTTATCTACTTCATAGTGTGTACTAAAAAACAGCACACCCACTGTGCAAACAGAATCTTTACAGAAAAACAAAAACAACCTAAAAAAACTGAAAGTAAACTTGGAGGTTTGGAGAAAATCGCCAAACCTCACTAGGATGGATTGTGGATCAGGGCTACATTAGCTTAGCCCATCCACGGACACTCCTTCTAATGAATGACATGTTTCTTTGAATAGTTGTGCAACATTATTGGAAGGGGTGTGAGGTATGTTTTGTCATCTTTGGTGAGTGAGTCAGAACTGTTACCCAACCGCTAGCTAGATTTTTATCATGGCTAGTGCACACTCTAGGTCATAGGTGTCAAACTCTGGCCCGCGGGCCAAATTTGGCCCGCAGTCTAATTACATTTGGCCCGCAAAGCCATACCAAATTACTATTAGAGCTGGCCTACTGGTATTATACAGCTAATATATATATTGTTTAGTATTAAGCTTTGCTTGTTCCATATTCAGTTTTCTAGCAAAACTTATTTGAGTCCATAAGAAAAGATTCATTCTTATATCTGGAGGAAGTTTTTTTTTCAATAAATATTAATGTTAGCCCACAACTTTGTTCCAGTTTTGAATTTTGGCCCACTGTGTATTTGAGTTTGACACCCCTGCTCTAGGTGAAACACTTACATAACAGGTCAGGATGTTTAACGCACCACTGTTTTTGTTTAAATAAATGTTTTGCTAAGTTCTTTCAGGGTTGAAGGCAGCCCTGAAAGTAATGTAGAGCCCAGGTTTTTACAACGCAGAAGAAGCTGTGGACTATCTCTGATATAATCTGGATACTATGGATCAACCACTTAGTAGCACTTGATGGCTGCTATTGGGGCATTTATTTTAAGGCCAATATCTAAATAAATGAGGATATCCATCCATCCATCCACTGTTGCCTGTCTCTCTATCAATAGATAGATATTGACTCAAATGTATTGAAAATGCTTAAAAAGGTTGGTAAATTTCCTCCAAAAAAATATTTCTAAAGTTTTTTTTCCTCCCCGGGAAGCTTTTTTCCTACCATGTATGTGGAAAATTACAGTTTCACTAATGGATCAGCTCAGCCTAGTAATTCCTGGCTCATTCCACCAGAGAACAAATGGCATGTTTATTCACATTATGGTCAGAGTAAGAGAAATGAAAGTACATTCGTGAATGGATGTTATGTCTCCAAACAGCTGAAATCCCCCTAAACTTCTATAATGCAACAACACTGCATGGTTTTCTTATGTTTCCTAGTTCAGCCACTGCCTGCCTCTGTGGGTGCTGGGCTGAGAGAATGGATCTCTCCCTTACAACGTATCTGAAAAGAGTGCTGCTCCTCTAGGCTCTGTTTACAGTGTTTAGGAAATCTAGTCCTTCTTGGGAGACTCTGGCCAATAACAGCTTTTTTCCAACCCCCCCCTACAATGAGTCACATAAAGGCGAATAAAGACCTCAGAAGTCCACACAAGTAGTGGTTCAGTCAGTTCAACATAGGACTCGAGGACCTGTGAGAGTGGGATTCACATCTACGTAAGCCAAAATCTGTAACTGACCAACTTTAATGCAAACCATGTCTTAGAACAGAGTTGGAACAGTTTCAGGATGACTGTTTTCTGATTCTTTTGCTTTTGTTGTTAAATTTTCTAGATTTTTGTATGTTGTGTATATCATACACTGTGCTCACACTATAAATACACTGATCAGGCATAACATTATGGCCACTGACAGGTGAAGTGAATAACACTGATTATCATGGCACCGGTTAGTGAGCAGGATATTTTCGGGAGTAAGTGAACATTTTGTCCTCAAAGTTGATGCGCTAGAAGCAGGAAAAATGTGCCAAGGTAAGGATTTGGGCGAGTTTGATTATTGTGATGGCTAGACGACTGGGTAAGAGCTTCTCCAAAACCACAGCTCTTGTGGGGTTTTCCTGGAATGCAGTGGTCAGTATCTATCAAGTGTTCCAAGAAAGTAACGGTGGTGAATAAGCGACAGAGTGATGCAGGTGGGGAGTGAAGGCTGGCCCGTATGGTCAGACCCCTGTCCACTGCCAAAAGCACCAACTATGGGCACGTGAGCAGCAGAACTGGACCGTGGAGCAATGGAAGAAGGTGGTCTGGTCTGATGAATCCCATTTTCTTTCACATCATGTGGATGGCCAGCTGTATGTGAGTTGCTTACCTGTACACCCTTTCGTGGAAACAGTATTCCCTGGCAGCTGTGGCCTCTTTCAAGCAGGATAACGCCACAAAGCAAACAAATTGGATCCATGGAGGCCCCACCTCAAAACTTACGGGACTGAGAGGATCTGTTGCTGGTGCAGATACCACAGCACACTTTCAGAGTTCTGGTGGACTCCATGCCTCAATGGGTCAGGGCTATTTTGGCAGCAAAAGGGGGACCAACACAAAATTAAGCAGGTGGTCATAATGTTATGCCTGATGAGTCTATGGTGCACCTGTATCTAAGGTAAGAATCGGGAGTTCATGATTAAGTCCACATTCTAGTCATCCCAATGCCATCACAGATCTTTTAATATAATATTAAAACCTCTCACTCTTTGGTCAGCATTGGGCAGGTCTTGAGCAGGTAGTGACTGAGCAGGGTGTCCTGGTAAAAGATCTCTGGTGGTGCAGTGGGACTCTTGAGGTTCAGACAGCGGACAATGATATAGAGGATGGTAGCCACCGCCGCCAGCTTCACACCATCAAACATGGCAGGCAGCTCTGGGCCAAAGGTGTGTACATAACCGCCCTCCGTGGTGGTCATTTTACATGTGTGAGTTGATCCGCTGTGTGTGCATAAACATATAATTTACACAAGCAAAAAGCTTACAGCAAATGGATTATTTTTACACAGTACATTTACAAAAGTCAAATTTCATAAATGAAACTGAAATATTGAAAACATAAAATGTGTTTGTAAATTTCTGCTAAAACGGCAGCTTCTCACATACAACAGCATAAAATTACATGGTGCTCTAACTTATAGGCAGCTGTGCGACATTTGGGATCTGATCTTTCAGTAGAGTCTAGTATGAAATCTCAAAATAATAAATAAATAACTAAAAATCCACTGAAGACATGATAGAGTTATCCAGGAGTGACACCATCTATTAATGTTGACGGTTTTTACTCACCTTGCTGCCAGAAGAAAGTATTTCATTCAGAGCTGGGAAAACACGCAAGTAACATCTCATTGAATTAAATGGCCAAGGCAAACCAACAAAAGAGTACACAAACACGAGTAATTTGCAATATGTGGTTTGCGGTGCGGTTACGTGACGCATATGGATTACACAAAATGAGAAATAGGGAGGTTAGAAGAAACTGCCTGCTAGCTTAAAAGTGCCTCAGTTTGTTGCCTTTGTCACGTCACTCAGGTAAAACTTTTTCTGTCAGATGTCGACCAAACACAACAGGCACTTTACGTAAAGAAAGCAATACGGGTTGAGCATAAAATTAAAATGTATGGTCTTACCATTACACTTTCTGAAGTTTCACTAGGTTTTTCCCGGACCCACCCGAAGTTTGACGCTCTAACACCGCCTGTTTACAGCGGAGAAACTGACTGACCAGCGACTCGCTCAGGATGCCTTCATGCCACCTGAAAAAGCTCCGAATTTTTGCAATCCCAAATGCAACAAAATGATAAATTTACAATTGCGAATGAAAATATGTATAGTCAATTTTTTTTAACGTTTTATTTTCACGTTTTTGTCCATCTTATTTTACGTTCTACTTGTTAGACCTGTCATGTATAGTCATAATATAATACATGAAACTCTCCATTTCGGTGTCACAGTCTCCTCCTTCGCTTTGTGAAACTGAAATTTCCGATTATACCAGCAGGCAGTACAGCAAACATAGCCACTTACTTCCTACTTAACTGAAACCCTAGCTTACGTTGACAAATAATAAAAAAATAATAATAATACAAACAGAAAAACTAAATCCAACAAACGTTATTCCTCTAGTTTAAATGTCATTCATTTTCAAGCGATTTGTCTAAACTTTGCACTGAGTGTGTTAGCCACAAGAGGGCGCCATTGATTAACTGGAAACACTGGGTCAAAATCAATGACTGTATATTCTCATAGCGGCTTAACCATGCTTTAAATGTTGTTTCTACTAATATATAATCTATCCATGTATAATAAGTGAATATTTGTTTATTTTAATGTGTTGATGACATGGCTTTAACTTTGACATCAAAAAGTATAGTTTTACAGATTGGTAACATACACACTCTCAATACTTTATGCATACATTTCATCACATCTCCCAAATCTTTAACTCTTTCAAATAAATTCTAAGAAATGGGATTTTCAGCATACTTTATGCGACAATGATGCAACGATGTAAACTTAAACAACTAAAATTAATAGAATTCTTTTGGCAATATATACATTCATCAATTATTGTCATGTGTATATCTTTCACAGTCCAACATACACCAGAAAGCCCCATTTGGCAAAAAAATCATTGAGCCTTGTGAGCATACACAGCTGTACAAACTAAGAATGTCAAAATTAAACTCTGCTCATCTCCACTCCTATCAATTATTTTCATTTCTTTATATCTGGTGCTGTTTATGATGAATCCTCAGTCTCATTTCCAAATGGGAGACAGAAGTGAAAGACATCTTGGCCAATTTTTCTTGTTTCTGTGTGGGAGACAGAAGTGAAACATCACTACATACCAGCTATACATTCATGAATCCTGTGCCAAATTCGCCAAGTAGCATTTCCCTTTAAGGGTATCACATGTTCTCAAGATTTGAGTTTACAGGATTATGCTCCTCTCTGCAATGCGGATTAAGATCAAACAGGGTCCTGTCACATTAAATTTTCATTTAACTGTCATCTTGTGATGATTAACCCAGCTCATACTAACTGAAGGTCAGTCATGTGAAGAAGCTTTGTCGCATGGAAGAGTAACATCTGAGAAATCTGTCATTGCTGAGACACACACCACAGTGACCACTGATGAATGTCAGTCAGCCTATGTGTACATGATACAGTGGCATCTGTGTTTTCAGAGAAAAGTGGTAATTTTTTGCAATTCATATTAAAACTTGAAAAGGGGAAAGATTATTAACCCCCCCCCCCCCCACCCACCCATTTACTTACCTCTTAAAGAGAAATGTAATCTCCTTTATTATTATTTTTTCTCTCAGTTCACCCTCGAAAAATCAATTACAGGCACTGGAGTTCTAAAATAGATGGAGTGTTGCATAAACAAATGTAGTTGCATTAGTCGCCCAAAGAGCCACAAATAAGTTACATTTATCCACACAAGATAAATGTGAAAGATTGGGAGCTTGATAGAATCACCACTCCTAGACATCACTCTTAGTCTCACACCTATTAAAACCAATTATTTGTCTCACGACCACTCCCTCTGACAGCTCAATAATCAACTCTGACCCACTGCTGGATCCGAGTTCCAGAAACACCCACAGATGGCTTGATACAATAAATCTCTGGCCTTAATCTGCATGTCAGAAGAGAATTTCATGCATGGCACATCATGGAAATTTTCCCAGAACTTTTTGTGAATAGACTTGCAATTCATCAACAGGGCTCCATCAAAGAGGGACATTACGGACTAAAGCTGTACTGATGGTGACGATGATGACGCAAATTAAATGCATGTAAATTTTGTTTTAGAAGAAAAATGGGACTCATTTAAATATTACAAATATTTATAAAATATTTCAGTGTGTTTCAAACATTTTTGGATACAAGAAACATTATTCAGAACATTAAGAATCAATGAACTCTCTCACATGCTATAGTAAATCTGACATTTTAGACCATATTCATATATCATATATAGATGATATATACATTACAATTAAAGCAAAAACTCATATGGGTTTTTTTTTAATGCTGTGGTCTAGGCCTTACATGATTATAGCTCCTTTTCCCATCTGTTATCCATCCTGTTGTAATCATATAAAGCTGTTATGTATGTATAATGAATTCACATACAGCAAATCTGACTTTAGCCATAAAACAACCAAATGATGCTAATGCATGCTGATTGAACTGTTAAAGTTAGTAAAATCTTACCACTAGAGTTCATCAGATTGTAGATTACAGTAAAATACAATCTGTTTTCTTACACCTCCCAGTTCACCTCACTCACCCCAACCCATGGTTGCTCCTCCCTCAAACTGGTTTCTGGCAGAGGTTTTTTTTCCTGTTAAATGGAAGGTTTTCCTTCCCAGTGTCACCAAGTGCTTAATCATAGGAAGTCACCTCGTTTTCTCTGTATTTTTGTAGGGTCTTTATCTTAAAATACACAGCACCTTTGTGTGACTTTTTGGCACTGTATAAATTGAATTGAATTGAATTGAATCATCGTAGCTACAGTTTAGCTTAGCTGTCAATATGTGTGCATGTTTATTTACTCTGGAGGAGGCTGTAAAACGTTTTGATGAAGTCTAATTTGGGTCAAAGGGTCAGTGAGCTTACTTCTGTCCAACAGCAGTAATAATGAGTTGAGTTCTTGAGTATATCCTGAACTTTTCTGTCAGCACGCGTTGCTGTTTTTGTCCCTGTTAGCTGTAACTCTCATACAATGTGAAAATGTAATCAAACTGTTTGTCAAGGAAAGAGTGTGAGTTTAAGGACGTCCTTTTGGTGGCCAAAGGTGATGCTATCAGAAGTTGGTTCTTGAAGTTCACTACTGCTGTTGGCTTGGTATCTGAAGTCAAAATAAAGATGCGTGGTTCTTGGTGCTGTGATGTCCCTCAAACTCAGAGAAAAGCATTTTACTACAAGGACTGGCAGACCTATTCACCTTCGTAATACATAAATGTTACTAAAATGTAAACAATGATTTTCTCCTCAAGGTTTGGGTATTGAAAAATTGAATGAAATCAAATTTAGATATAGTGCAGCCCATTAGCTATAATAGCTTCTTTTGTTTCCATAGCAGATCAATTTACTTTTCTTAGTGACTTTTTTTTAAACGGGGGGCGGGGTCACAATTAAATGCCAGGCTGCGATTGGCCGAGAGCCGAGGTACACGTGCTCCTTCTCCACGCCTGCTCTCTGGGAGTAAGAGCCGAACAACAAGCTCGAGCCGCCGTAGCAACAACGTCCAGACTGTCGTTGCACTCTAACCGTACAGTTGTCCATCAAACTGACAAACTACAGCTATTTAACGGCTGACAAAAACAAGAAGTATGAAGGAACAGACGCGGTTTTTCCTTTGGCTGCAACTTTTTACAGCTTGTCTGGTGTTTGGGGTAAACGGTAAGTTACCTCTCTCTGTTTTAACATTTGTTCTATTACTATCAGCCTTTACTGTCAACAGTCCTTACTGCTCAGACCGCAGCCCACAGTGTCCAGTACCGTGACTGTTTCAGTTGAGTTGGTTGCTTGCTTCCCCTCTCGTCACTTCTGATTTTACACAGTATAAATTAGTTGTTGACACCTCAGAGTTTTTTTTCTCCTATCTCCCCCCTTTTTGTGCGTGTGTGCGCGCGCTAATCACACCCCGGCACAAGTGGTGCCTTCACTTCATCGCCAGAATAATGGAGCTGTGGGCATTTGTAGGTGCAAGTTCAAGCAATCCTTGAATAAGTGGACAGGACGTGTGGGAATGTGGTGAGTGGGACACTGGCTGGTTGTGAAACGGGAGGATTGCAGTTGTAAGGATAATCACATAAAAACAACTAAGCGTCTGTAGCTGATGAGATCTAAATGTGTTCCAGGTTTTGTATGGTTTACAGAGTCAACGCTTGGAGGCATTCATGTGCGCATGAATGCCCCCCCCCCCTTTTTAAAAATTTTATTAAAAAGAGAAGCATCACACACTTACGGTGGCTATTATACTTATCCAGTGTTAACCTTATGCCATTGGCGCTTGTCTTTGTTTGCTTTTCCACGCATCAAACACATTTAGGCCGATGGACAAAAGCTGAAATGGCCTGACTTCCACTGCCTCCGTTTCTGCTCACACACAAATGGAAAAGGAGTCACGTGTGTTTTCCTTGGTATGATGGTGTATTTTCCAAATGTGAAAAAAGGAAGGAAAAAAAAGGATCATTTTCCACCATTTGCATATTGAAAAAAAGGGAAATTCATAACTTGGATTACTGTTGTGTAATAGTACATTGCTTTCCAGATTAAACATTTTGATTTATAGTCTATTCAGCTGTCAGTGAGCCACTGGCTTAGTCCTCCTGAGGGATTGAAACTCAGTATCAGAGCAGGTCAAAGCAGTTTCTTCTTCTTTACAGATGTATTTGAAAATATGTTGGAAAGCATAAAAATAAACTAATAAAGAACAGAGTTAGATTGATTTGAAAATAGAAGCGTAGAAGTGGCTACTTTTTTCACAGTATAGCATGACTGTTGTACTTGTCATGGTTTCACTATCTGCCTAATGCTTCTGTGTCAAGAGTTTTTCCTGCCTTTTGACACCCACCAGAGATTTTGTTCAGAGCCAGAGGTAAATCACCAGCATTGTACTTTTTAAATTGCAGTTTACTAATGCATAAACCATGCTTTTCTTTGTAAGATAGTTAGAAATATCAGGAAATTACACTTTTGTTTCCTGTCAAAGTAGCAAA